GGTGTCTACGATGCCGCTGTGTCGGTGTTGTGCGGGATGCTGAGGGTTGGTGAGCTCAATCTGTGCAGCTGTGGATGAAGCTTGTGCCCCATTTTCGGGACTGTCTGCCGCAATGCGCGGCGTAGAGCCGTCACTCGTGTCCAGGCCCTTGTGCAGCCCGGGCAAATGCAACTCGTGGGCTCCTGGAGCGCAGACGTCAACGTCCGAATCTTGTATACCGAGAGGCAATCCCAGAGCCTGGCTCAGGTACCGGTCGATAGCATACGCGCACCAGAAAATCCTCTTGCGCAACTGCCGGTCGTGAGTCGAAAGCTCTTTGTAGCGGAACGGGCATCGATGGAGACCCGCGTGCAGCATAGACCGGAGGATACAGCCGCCTACCGTGGACGCCGTCCGAAGAGACATCTTAGCCACCAGGTACAACTGCGCCGCGAGAAGAGCCTGCAGGGACGGGAGATCCTGCCTGCGCGTTAGAATAGCGAGCAAGGAATGCATGCTCCCTGGGGACTTGATTCTGGATTCCGGCGGAAGGGCCAGATCGGGTCGCAGATGGCTTGCGAGATTGAACACGCACTGAAAGATTGTTGTCCAACACGCGTTCCGGTGGTCGGGAGATGTGGACGGGATATTCGCACGCGTATGCCCTTCGGTCCCGTGCGAGTCTGAGTAAAGCAACTCCATCGCCCGCAGGAAGCTGGGGCCATGTAGAAACGGGAACAGGGGATGCCACACTTTGAAGTAGACCATCATGAGTTCCCTCGCCATGTCCAGCGGCGGAGCCTTGCCGAGCTCATGAGCGATTTCCGAATCATACTGCCACTTACAAAAAGAGGCAGACGGCCCGGAGACAGACGGAGAACGGGCAGTAGACGGGGACTGATCAACATGCGACTGATCGCTGCCTACAAGCGTGTCTTCCGGCAGAGGCAAACTTATTTTGGACGGATCCAAGTCCTTGGAGAATGCACGTCGAACGGTGTTGATGAAATAGACGCCGCTGGAACTGCCAACAAACTGGCTCTCTTCGTTCGAGTGCGCTGTCAGGGAACCAATCTCCGACGGGCCAGGGGTGAGATCCGAAGAGTCCATCCTGGCGGGGACATGGTGCCTCGACGAGCCCTAGATAGATTTTCCTGAATCAAGTTGTGATGCTCCTCGGTTGATGGACAAGCAAAGGTTGCTGCTCTTACCAGTTTAGTTTCTCTTTACCCACCAACGCCTGCTTAGTCATCACACATTGCTCGATCCTTGCTCGCCTCTTGCATGTCTGAAGATGAAAAATGTAGAGGATCTCTATTATTGATTGAGCTTACTGGCCTGATTCTCATGTTTTCGGACACTTGAGTCGATCGGTGTTGGTGACGCGGAGCATTGGGAATAGCTTCAGAAGACATGCATTACTTGGAACTGATCACATTGTTCTATCTTGCCAAAGGTCAAAGTATATATACCGCCAGAAGTACATATATACAGGTATCAAGATGAAAGATAGCCATCAAATATAAAGGAAAGGTCATGCCACGGTTCGTACAATATCATCAATTGCTTTGGCAACGTAGCGGACGTTTTTCGTGTTCACTATCGAGACTGTCAGTGTTGTGAGAGAATTCAGCGAAGGGGACAGACACTTACAGCCAGACATGGAGATACGTCCTGACTTCATCATGTAGATGTGATGTCGTCGTCGAATCGCGAGAACTTGAGTCTCTGTCAACCCGGTGTACGTGAACATGCCAATCTAATACTGTTAGCAAATACATTCAAGCCTGGTCTCAGGAAGAAATAATGCCTACCTGTTCTAGAACGTGATTCCAAGTGCCTGGTGTTTCCAGTCGAATCAACTCGTCGTATAATGCCTGGCGCATCTGCTTGATCCGCCCGCTCATGTGCTTCAGGTCTTCATACCATTGCTCTCTCAAGCGCTCATCGCTGAGAACGGTCCTGACAATCTCGGATCCGCCTCGGGGAGCCATGGAGTACTCTCCACGAACAAGATGCGACAGATTCGCCAACACAACCTGCGGCAAAGTCCCCGAGCTCGAACTCGTCACCACATGCAGGGCGCCAGTGCGCTGTCCATAGAGACCGAAATTTTTCGAAAAGGACTGCGCAACACAGAACTCCAGCTCAGGCTTGCAGTTCATGAAGTGCCTGATGGCCCATGCATCCTCGTCGAGGCTTCCTGAAGCGAACCCCTGGTACGCCAGGTCAAAGAACGGCACCAGACCTTTTTGCTGGCAGAGCACGGCGAGTTTACGCCACTGCTCCTTGCTGGGATCAGCGCCGGTGGGATTATGTGCGCAGGCATGAAGGATCACGACATCGCCCTTCTTCGCCTGCGCGGAAAGCAGCCGCGTTGTGCGCTCATAATCAAAGCATTTGCCCTCGTGGTCATAGTACGGATACGTCCGGACCTCGACACCGACGAGCTMCCAAATCGTGTAGTGGTTGGCCCAGGTGGGATCTGGAATCCAAACGCAAGAAGGCCTGATGGTGCGCGCGAGAAAATCCGCACCTAATCTGTTTGCACCTGTCCCCGAGATCGTCTGAATCGAGGCAATGCGGTCTTGCGCAGCGGCCTGCTCGTTAGTTGCGGACTTTCCAAACCCAAAGACTAGGTCCCGTGCTAGAGCTAAAAACTTGACGTCGCCCTGGATGGTCAGGTACTCGTGTCTGGCGACGTTGTTCGCATGGAAGAGCTGCGCCTCGGCTTGTTCCACCACGCTTAGGGGCCATGGATCGCCATCGTCTGTGCGATACACGCCGAGGCCTAGATTGACCTTGTCAGGGTGACGGTCACTGAGATATTCGGCTTGAAGTGTGAACGGCTCATCGACGGGCGGTACGGACAGGGAGGAGAACCGAGATGGTGTTGACTTGGCGACAGACTTGACATAGGTTTCATCACCTGTAATGGCAGTCTGTCGGAGACCCTCGTCTATCTGAGCTGGAGCCATGGTGGGAGTAGATCTGTTGTATGGAGTTAAAGGGTCAGTCTACCCTAGTCCGGATCTCAGCATAACGACGGTATTTATGGAGCGACGGGAGAGCTGCTATTTGACCCATCGCGGTAGAGATGAACGCATTCCGATACCGTGGGCCAGCTTCAAGGGCCAATCCGAATAAGAGACAGCGATCATAACAACGGCTATTGTGGAAGGATCCGATGGTCCAAGGGGAAAAGAATGCCGTAAATGCCGTTTATCGTCGGAAGTTGACGTCGTTCGGGAAAGATACCCGCTGCCAACCGCTAGCAGCCGGCAACTTGCACGGCATCACTACGACAATGAAATGGAAGACCATGGAACCATTGCGATGGAAAGAAAAGAAAGGGAAATCTCAACTGCTTTGGGGAGATCAAGTAAAGTAGGCGCGTGACGCGGGTGACTAGAGCTACTGCCAATGAGCCGTGGGTGAGAGTATGCATCGGTGAACTTTATCAAAAAGAAAGTCAAAAATTCTATATCTTGATATAATCAATCATGTCGCAGAACCAAGCGCTCAATTTCTGCGCATACGGCTTCCACAACCCCTTGAGTATTTGCGGTCCCTCCAAGATCTGGAGTCAGAACTCCAGCAGCGCACACCCGTTCAACACATCCCATCAGCTGCTTTGCAGCGTCCTTCTCGCCTAGCCAAGAAAGCATCTCTGCAGCCGACCAGAACGTGGCTACAGGATTGGCTACTCCCTTGCCAGTGATGTCGAAAGCGCTTCCATGCACGGGTTCAAACAAGGACGGATTCTTCCTTGTTGGGTCTAGATTGCTAGAGGGAGCGACTCCAATTGATCCTGCCAGCGCGGCAGCCAAGTCTGACAGAATATCCATGTGCAGGTTGGTACCGACGATAGTGTCCAGGGAGTCGGGTTTGGCCACCATGCGGACCGTCATAGCATCCACTAGCATCTTGTCCCAGGTGACATCAGGGAAGTCCCTGGCGACCTCTGCGGCCACTTGATCCCACAAGACCATGCCATTGCGCATCGAGTTGCTTTTAGTGACCACTGTCAAGTGACGACGAGGTCTTGAGCGTGCTGTTTCGAACGCAAATCTCATGATTCTTTCAACTCCAACCCGGGTGAAGATGGCAACCTCCGTCGCGGCCTCCCACGGCTGACCGACGTGACTGCGCCCGCCCTGGCCAGAATATTCGCCCTCTGAGTTTTCGCGTACGAGAACCCAGTCGATGCCGTTTGTCGCGGCATTTAGCGGACATTTTGTACCAGGAAAGGTGCGCACCGGGCGGACATTGGCGTACAACTGCAAAGGCCCTCGAATTGCTAACAAAAGACCCCAAAGCGAGATGTGGTCAGGAACATCTAGACTGCTATCAGTTGCTGCTTGTGCCAAAGTCGATCAGGCAAGACAATCATACCTGGAGCGCCCACAGCGCCGAACAGTACTGCATCAAACTGTCGTAGTGTGTCCAGACAGTCTTCTGATGCATACCGACCATGTGCCTTGTAGTATTGCGTGCCCCATGGGATGTGATTGAAGTCAATGTCGAATGTTCTCAACTTTTGGCAGAGCTTCTTGACGACCTGGATCGTCGCTTCAACAACTTCTGTGCCAATACCATCGCCTGGAATAGACGCGATACGGTACGTAGTTGGAACTGTAGCTGCCATTTTGATTTTATTTTGTTCCCTGAACAATGTGTTCGTAGCGATAAGAGTGATTCGGACCAAATAAGCCTGCACCCTCTATATATACCGGTCATGGCTTTCGGGTAGACAGGGCAGCTCAGTCGAAAGAGATGAACGTATTGCGCCTGAAATTTCATCCTTGCAGTTACATTTGTTACATTTCCCAGAGATGTGACGTTTTCATAGTACTACCATGCAAACCGGCTGCTGCTGTTGTGGTGGAGAGAACCATCGGTTAAACCTTTAGCCTGTAGATAATCCCGCACTTGTCCCGATTAGGATGGAAAGGCATCATACACTCTGTCAAGAGATCAGGTTCATCATTGTTCCCAAATCAGTAGATTCTACTGTTAACATGTCTACCAGTAAAAGCAGCAAAGGCTCCAAAACATCTCGGATCACAGTTGCCTGTAATTCCTGCCGGTCCCGGAAGCAGAAAGTGAGTGCCTCTTCGTTCACTGATATCATCTTGCTGACAGGATTGAAGTGCAGCGGCAACAGGTAAGTTGTCCTAATGATTCAAGGCAGGCTTGCTGACTGCCAAGACCAATATGTACTCAATGCCTCCAATCCCATCGGCAGTGTGACTGGCCTGAGCAGCTCAAACGGTTGGTTTCCTGATCCTCAAGGTAGATTGTACAAGTCTCACCAAGCCAGAGGACCCGCGAAGGGCTATATTGAAGCGCTCGAGCACCGCCTGCATGAGACAGAACACGTAATATTGAGATTGCTGGCCCACATGAGCGACGAGCAGTTAGTGATTGCTGTTGAAGGCGACCAGTCACCCTTTCTGCGTTCGGGGAAGAACGATGTGCAATATTGGAGGCGATATCCATTGCGTACGGCTCGTGATCTTCGAGAGTGGCAGCGAGGTTGTTCGACAGAAACCAGAGCGTCGCCGTCGAGACGCACCGAAGTTTCTGCGCAATCGGAAGTCGAAGCTGACGAAAATAGTCCAGTTCCGTCTGAGCGTCAGCGAACAGAACAACCTGTACCTGCTTATGAACGGGGTACAAGCGCACACGAATTCGGACTGAAGTCCACTCAAGTGATCCGCGGCAAGGATATGTACCAGCGTGCTCCATGGGAGAATGGTTACGACTCATCCAACGAATTGAGAAAATCGCCGACAGCAAGGGGATCCATCTATATACCGTCGCCGTTGGAGTCTACCCGGTTAGAAGATACTCGGTCTTTACCCGCCGGTACTCCCCCCGGCCCAAGCCTTTGGAGTGAAGCGCCCTCGGTAGCTTTCCAGCAGCAATTCCTCTGGTAGATACTTGATCTTTCATTCATAACGTGTGTCATCAAAAATGCCAAAGGTCCAGGATAATGCCGGGGTAGTACCCAGACACATACTCTACACTGGGGCGATCCTACGTCAATCCACCTTGATGCGCATACGCATTAAGAACGGAATTACGGGGAGGTACAACATAGTCGAGCTGGATACACCACATGAAAACAGCTCAGCAAAATCACTGCTACACAACAGGCAACGACCGCACACTCGCCGGCTTAACGATCTTAATCCCCATCCCCGGCCTGAGCATCCCCCCTTTCTTAACCGTCCCCATCACCCCAGCCAACCTCTTAACCACCCGGCCTCCATCACGCACCACACACACATCCTTCAGTCCAGGTCGACACTTATCCATCCCCGGCCCTGGCTCCCGGACACCCGTCAATACAACAACAGCCTCCTCACCTTCACCACCAAGGAAATGCAGCTCCGTCCCCAGCGGGAGCGTCGATAGCTCCACCCCCTCAGTAGTGATATTCTCGCCGATCTCGCCAGCCGAGAGGGGTTTTGCGTTGCGGCCCGCAGCAGCAGCGGAAAATCTACCCGAGAGCTCGCGGAGTGTCTCGACGGGGACAAGATGCACTTGTCTGAGATTGGGGGTGCGCTGCTGCTGGGCTCGGTGCTGGCTTGTTTGCCCCGCGTGGCAGTCGCCGTCGACGCCGTGGTTGGGGATGAGGGTGATGGATGGGACGGGGGTTTTGGCGATGGAGTGGGAGGAGGATTTGGAGACGGAGAGGACGCGGGGGGGTGAGCAGGGTGGTTTTTGATGTTGATGTTGATGTTACTGTGGCAGACATTCTGTACTATCAGAAGTATTCTTTTGGATATTATGTATGTGTGTGCTGATACTCGATGCTTGATGTTGATGCTCATGAGTACAAGCGAATGGTTGAGGATATCTATTCTGAAGACCCTCACCCCGCCTTGCCAACACATTCTGCATAACCCTTGATCTAAGATTGATGTGCAGAACTATCCGCGAATAACAATTTCGTCTAGCGCTCACGGACCGACTACTCGGCGTATAGGTGAATTATTGGGCGATGGCTTGCAGTGTTTGTGCCAGAGGCCTAGAAGTCTTAGGGTTGGTGCTGGGGCAGGGATCACGAGCTGAAGGAGGGAAGGGAGGGCGTCCGCGCGCTGTTCTCGATGGGCGTTTGCACAAGAGTTTAGTTTACACGATGAATGTGAATTTTAATTTGAGTTTGATCCTTGTGATGCTTGAAGAGGAGAGTTAGTGATGTAGAGGCTGTCGGTGTACCTATACAGGTGCTCAGTTTGTGCCACTTGCAACGTGGACCTCAATCCGCCCGGTCCCCGTATTCTGTGTCTTGATGAACGCCAAATCTAGCACCCCATCCTTATTGAAATCAATCATCTGCCAGAACCCATCGTCCTCGGGATAGAACGTGGTGCCCACCTCCTGGACACGGGTCTGATATGTCGACGCCCCAGACGCGACATGGACCTCCACACGGCCAGTTCCCGTGTTCCTGGTCTTGATATACACCAGGTCCAGCTTCCTATCTCTATTGAAATCAACCATCTGCCACACTCCATTGTCCTCAGGGTAGAAGGTCGTGCCGACTTCCTGGACGCGAGTCTGATAGTTGGATGCGCCAGAGGCAACATGTACCTCCACCCGTCCGGTCCCGGTGTTTCGAGTCTTGATGTAGATCAGGTCAAGGATACCATCGCCGTTAAAGTCGGCCATCTGCCACGTCCCGTTATCTTCAGGCAAGAAAGTCGTGCCGACTTCCTTAATGCGGGTCTGAAAGTTGGACGCCGCCGAGGCAATGTGCACTTCCACTCGGCCGGTGCCTGTGTTCCGGGTCTTGATGTAGACGAGGTCATCTCGGCCATCACCGTCTGCGTCAATCAGCTGCCAGACGCCATTGTCTTCGGGCCAGAAGGTCGTGCCGACTTCCAGAGTGCGGGTCTGGTAGTTGGAGGCCCTGGAGGCGAGGTGGACTTCCACCCTGCCGGTGCCAGTGTTACTGGTTTTGATATAGCCCAGGTCTGGACCCGGTCTGTTGGCAAAGGAGGGAGTCAAGGACCAGGGCCCATAGGGGTCTGGAGAGACAAAGGTGGTACCAGTCTCGAGGATGCGGGTTTGGTATGGGGCTGCTGTGGCCGAGGTAGCCAGCAGCGGAAGAACGAGATGCCAGATGGCTTTTAACGAAACGGGTTTGGTCTGCATGACGAAGTTCATCTCTTGCTGTGCTGTAGTAATCTGATCAAAGTCATAATTGCCAGGGATTGAGCCGTATTTATAGATTGTTCATCGCACAGGACGGAGGCATCGGGACTTGGAGATGTTTCTTCAGCTGCTGCTCAGCTGTCTCGAGCAAGGATATTTCGGTCCCCCGCCGTGGCTGAGACATAATATGGTCTGGACATTGGAATCGAGCGAGACTGTTCTGCTGTTCAGATGGCTAGCTGGGCTCGAAGTGAGTTTGCTGTGGAGCGGCAGCTGGAGGGGTCATGCCAGAGCGAGGAGGCTGGCTGAGTTCTCGACATGATGCTGGTAAATGTCAATCGCTTTAGGTTGCCAGTTTTAAGTGCATATTCTTCATGTGTGACGAGGGGCGACTCCGTTGTGGTACTGCAGAAGTCATGCCATGCCCTTGAAGCAGAAGCAGGGAGGAGATGTACAGTACTTTTGTGATGTAACCTTGGACAGGGGGTTGGCCCATATTCAGATGAAATTGACATTCCAGCTGCCGAGAACGTCTTATCCCATGATCGGCTGCTGATGATGATGCGATTTGAGCTGCAGCATGTTGATGGTAATCGTGGAGTTTGCACTCGCAGTCGACTTTTTAAGTGTGGCTCGTGGTTGACGGAACCTGAGCTACAGTTGCACAACGCAACCTGCGGAGTGACAGTGCTGCAGTACAATCCATGTCGACTGCTTCCTCTTCTGAAATTGATTCCATCAGAAATCATACAGAATATTGGGCTGAAAATGAAGACCCTGGATACTGACTGTCATCAGTCCTGTCGAATCGGCAATACCTGCCGTCGTCGCATTGGGCCAAGCCTTTCGGTCCAATGACCTATGCTGCTGAATTGGTCATAACGAGATTCAACTCAACTTTCACTCAACCCAACTATGGAAATCCCAGCAGCAAGTACGTCCTAAATGAGGCGGGCAGAGAGGCACCTTGCAGGCCTTACAATTCCAGCTGGTGAGGCTAGCCCGCAATATCGGTAGACAGACGGGACCTCGCTGCCGCATATAGTTTATATGGAGACACCAAGTACACCTTGTCTGCTTGTCTGGCCTCCGCTCCACCTCATGCTCGAGAGAACTATCCAATCGGATATCTGGAAGATGGACACGCGCAGCCTTGCGCTTGGGCTGGTATGTTGGCACCCTTCGATACTGGAATAAAGCCTGGAAAAGCTGCCGTCGGAATTGAAGCTGCGTAGTTTTCCGTTGTTTTGAGTGCTGTGCATGTATACGGCTGATTTGCCAGGCATTAACCACAGCGGCATCAATGGCCGATAAGAAAAGTGACCACCAAGCACTCCAAGGCTGATGATGAGCTTCATGGCTTGCGCGAAGCTGATATGCAATATCAAAATATCGCATATGGCCTTGCATTTTGTATGTGTGATTTGATCGTCCAGAGCGCGGTGCAATTAACTGATCAATCGAGATGTTCGTTGAGGGCTGGCGATATCTCTCACAGGCAGATCGGAATTCTGAAATCAGCGGCTCAAGCTTCCCCCACAGAGCTTCGATATCGCAATCGGCTCCCTCGGCCTCACCTCGAGGCTCATTGTCCGGAGGGTCCGGCGTATGCGGTGATATTTGTAAGTATCGCTTGAGCTGCTGGAATCGTATAAGGCTCATATATTCCCGTATTGGATGCAGCGGGCCAAGGTGTGCATCTTTCTCTGTGCGCCAATACCACTCAGTAGAATGTTCCTTCCAGATTCCCATATAGATGAGCACCCCAACAAAGACCCTTATCTCATTCGCTTCCGTAGGGGCCCAAGGTCGAGCCTGGTCGGGAAGCGAGACGCGCTTGATCTCGGCGTAGGCGTTGGTATTTCGTGCAATAGTATCCCAAATTCCATCAGTAAAGAAGAGATTAAAGAGGTCAAGTGGCTTTTGAGGATCAACACCACTGGGGAGCTGTAGTACTGGGCCGTCAGGCCCACTCATTTTGACCGGGTCAATTGACAGTTGATATCAGGAATAAAGCTGAGAAGCTTTCTTGTCTTCTCCTTACGCGTCAAGTTACAATTCTCAGCCAGCGCTTCAGCTTTGACAGTGTTAGGTGGCTTACTACCCACCCTTAGTTGTGTATCTGCCTCGGCAGGTGATGTTTAAGTATGGCGGATATGCTAGCTAGCAGCGGATACAACCTTAAAAGATACGTACCATTTTCTGCTGGTCGTACTGACCAGTTGGGCAAGCGGTTCAATTCGGACCAATCGGATCAAATACATGGAGAACGCGCTAAGAAATGCATGAATGGCACCACATCATGAACAACAAAAACGCTCGGCCCTTCGGCCCTGTATTCTATCCCACACATACCTCACCATGGTATTGAAGAGGAAAGGCCATAATTTTGTGCTGGGATAACTGCACCGGACAGGGGCTGTTTATTCCCTCTTCGTATCTCTATTGAAGAGCGATACCAAATGACTATGTTCCTATCTTGCTTATCTGACATGGAGAACCTAAGCTGCTGTCTAAGCATAAGTGATTCCGCTAGATTTGGGCGACAACGAAGATGCCTGCTGATAGGCTTGAGCAGCTGCATGACAAACAATTAGAGAGACTAATATTCCTTGATACACGTTGTTCTTGCAGAGTACCTACATGATAGCATAAAGCATCTTCTCATAAGATCGACACCGTCTATTGGGGGCTTCCCGAAACATAATGCAAAAACTGTCTCGGATAGCTCATGTCTTCCTATTTGAGCCATGGAAAGAAGCAGAGATCCTGGTCGACATTGCAGGTCGTCTGCTCGGATGCGCAAAAACCCTTTCCCTTCTCAATGTGTCTAGACCTGTATGGGATGAATCATGAACATAAATAAGCCCAGGATGCTCGTCAGAATGGGCATCCATCTGGAAGTGAATCCTCCTCCTGAATGCTTGTTTTCATTCCTTCACCAGCTTGCTTCTTTCTCTCCTTTCTAAGATGTTCATTCATAACTAAATGTTTTAGTATATCTGATGCCATTCACATCGGATAGTAATACTGTCTTTACCCTTTCCACCAGCATTTTACTTCTTCTGTCTTTCATTTTCATTGGCTCTTGTTGATTTTACAATGCTATCTCTTAAGTAGAGCTGTTTGACTGGCTTGGACATATATCCAAGCATACCTACGATTATCTTGGCTCCGTCTGCCTCGACGACCTGACTGAAAATCACCTGCTCGCGGTCTGAAGTATTCTCAGCTGTTTGTAAGTAGACCCTCGACTTCTTACCCTGCGAGCCTCGAAATGCTTGCGCTGACAGTCCCACCGTCAAGGACTTCCATAGAGAGACACTGGAAGTGGAATAGAAGACAACCTATGTCCTTCCCCAGGTCTGCAACAAAGGCAGCTTTCAACAAAGGATGACCCAGCCTGAGAAAGCAGCCCTAACATCCCAAGGAAATGCCCTTTGGGTGGCGTTGAAAAAGAGCATAGCGCAATGGAGCCACTAATCGATTTCCTGGTGATGCTGCCAGGTCGAAGTGTAAGAGTACTCAATCATTGCGACATTCTCAGTCATGTTCTGCGGCATCCCTCCGAGGAATCCTACAGAGGGAGCTGGCACATCGGCCGCACACAGCATAGTAAACTTCAGAGAAGATTGCAGCACTATACCTTCATATCAGACTGATATTACCGGACGCGGACATACGGACCATGGCGTCTAACGGCCCTAAAATGACCGACTCTGTTTGCAGAAGGCTAGGAGCGCGGGGAGATCGTGGACAGGGGAGACCGAGGGTTCGCGGATTTTTGGTGGAGAATGACCCCCGGCGTGAGGAACATGGTGCCTGTAACCCGGGTAGGGGTGGCACATTACCTCTTAGCAGACTGTGTGAAGCTCAGATACCTCTTGCGCATTTTCCAACAAGAGGGCCTATGGCGGGAACCGAGCGGGAGCAACCCCGGTTTTTGGTATTTACCCACTGGCCAATGGTAATGTGAATCACGGAGATGTTTTTGGATGCGATTAGCATCTCATATGTTACGATCCGCGCCCAGATGGGAGAGGCGGCCCGCCGTGAGGCGGCCACTGAGTTTACCAGGGGCCCATGGCCTCAACCTCCACGTGGAGTGAAGCCGCGTGATCCTCCTCGAGCCGCCMCTGAATCTCAATACGCTTTTTCAGGCGGTGGGACGCGCCCACCACCTCGGGCAGCGAAGCAGCCAGAAGGTGTGGTCCATCTTCCAAGAGCATACGATATCCAGGTGGTTGGAGTGCAATAACATGCTCAAGGCCCTCCCCTTGCGGCAGGCAGTACGTGCCTGCGCCGAATCCAAGTGGTCTTGACTGTGGATTTATTGGAGGAGATGCTACTTACGCATATAGTCCTCACTAAGCACTCAGAGGATTCCAGTGAGAAGCGTGCACAGTTATCCAACCCGACATCTTTTATTTCTATAGCCGCCAGGGGGGGACGCTATAGAAACATCGATGATCTCGAAGAGCATGGATTTGACCCAGTTTGGACGAGCTGGGGGAATATCCTGGGGTCCACCGACTCGCCCAGCGGGAGCCACAGAAGGCCTGGGCATTGTTCCAGAAACATTCCATCTCCAGATGGATCGAGTGTAACAATGTGATGAAGGCCCTGGCACGGTTGGCCGCCCAGCTCCATGATTTGCTGAATCCCTCGGTGCTGGCTGCCCGAAGTTCGAACTGATCCACTCCTGGGGGATTGTCGAAGCTACGGATGACCTCGTCGAACATACTAAGGCCTTCGCAATCATAGAGAAGCTCATAAACCGCTCCACGTAATCACCGGTTAAAAGGACTGCGACCCGTCGGAGCATTGGGCAGGTCTTGAAACATTAAGTGTTATTGGCGATCCATCATGGCAAAATTATGACCGGAGTTGGAGCTACTGCCCTCGTGTCGGCTCTGCTGCCGTTACTCGTCAACCCACTGGATAACTAAGTGCAGGGTCTGGAGCCACTCAAGAGCTTCAAAGCAAAGAGATACATGAGAGAGCCAGAAGCTATCTCCAATTTGGCACCACAACAGGTTATCTTTTTGAACACGCTGGGTCCGGCTCTAAAGACAGCCTAACAGCCGAGGAATCTGTTATCAGAACGTGGAGCAGCAATCCGAAGACAGACAGTTGGGTGGGACTGTTCTTCACGAGACACTGGCTATCCCGGGGAGATCCCAGATGATACTGCAGAGTATCTCGATGATGGCAGAGGCGCAGGTAAGTTTCTAGCCATGAAATGACGAAAGAATCTCACAGCTAACTACCACTGAAGCAATCCTTCAGCCCCAGGAGACGTTCAAGTCAGCCTCCGAGGTGACGCAAAAGCAGTTCATGATGCTGCGCATTTACGCGCTTAAAGGTGTGATAAAAATTGTCCGTGGAAATCCAGGCGAACCTATTCGACCACCAGTGGAAACCCGGCACGCTCTCTCGTTACAACCGGGCGGAAAGAGAATGGTCAAAGATAATAACCCAGCGCTGTATCCGTGGGGGTTGCCTGCGACCCGCCTGCTCCTTGATGTCAAAAGCCATCCTGAATTCACCGCCGACACCTTATACACACCCGTTTTCCGCAACTTCCTGCGGTTGCTTGACGATTGGTTCGTGCTTTTAGGTCTGGAGCGATGGCGAGATACAGCCAGCAGCCTTGTTACGGCAGCCCCAAATGGGATTCCTCGCTTCATAAACCCAAATAGCATGATATCGTTGAAGCTATTGATGACCCTGCATTTACCATCTAAGATGAGGTACGGTTGGTTCTCTTCGGGGCAAAGGTTGGATCTCTCGTGGATGTAGAAGGAGTACGTCGTCCGGACATGTCTTTAGTCTACTGGTATTTGATGAAATTCTTCGCAATTGTGGTCATATGCGCCAGTTTATAAATAGATGGGTGTCTTGTGAAATGTGCTCTAGTAGTTCACAGGCGTCTAGTGCGTCTAGTAATCAGATGGCAACTGTGGTAGATCCTGTAATTACTTTGTATTGTTGAGTGGTTCCAAACACTTAACACTTATGGCTTGACAGGTGGAACAGCATGATGAACGGTACAGATATCTCTATTCCATTGTCTTTGGAGAATACTATATCCTTGCGACACACCTTGGTGTCCTTTTGAAACAGTGCCTAGTCATCCGGACTTCAGTACCTGATCACTACTGATGGCACTACACATGCACTAGATGAGACAGGTATCCTGACGTTCAACTCTATGGATATAAATTCTAAATTACAGGTAATGGATCATGCATGCATCATTTAAAACGTTCCCAGGTTGTCAGCGACCTTGAACGGAGCGGCAGTCTTGCTGCGGATCTCCTCGACGGTCACGCCCTCGGCGGTCTCGGCCAGGGTCAGACCTTCCGTTGGGCTGACATCGAAGACGGCCAGGTCGGTGATAATCTTCCAAACACAGCGAGGACCGGTGAGAGGGAAGCTGCACTCAGGCAGGATCTTAGGGTTGCCCTTCTTGTCGGTGTGTTCCATGGTGACGACCACCTTGGTCTTCTCGGGGTTGGCGACGAGGTCCATGGCGCCACCGACACCCTTGACCTTACCGGGGAGCATGAAGTTCGCCAGATCACCGTATTGGCTGACCTGCAGGGCGCCGAGCATGGTGAGATCGATGCGGCCAGCGCGGATCATACCGAAACTCTCGTGGGAGCCGAAGACGGAGGCGCCGGAGCTCAGGGTGACGGTTTCCTTGCCCGGGTTAATCAGATCGGGATCCTCTTCGCCGGGCTTGGGGTAGGGGCCCAGACCAAGGATGCCGTTCTCGGCCTGGAGGACGACTTCGACGCCTTCGGGGAGGTAGGCGGGGGCGATCAGGGGGATACCAATACCGAGGTTGACGTACATGCCATCCTTCAATTCCTTGGCGGCACGCTTGACGATGCGTTCGCGACGAGCGGTGGCCTCGCCGGATCCTGGAGCAGTCAGCAGGGGAGATATAGCATCAGGTGTTAGAAGCATGCGTACCAGCCTGGAGCATCTCGCTAGGATCCTTGGCGAATGTGAGCTTCTCGATCATGGTCTTTTCCGTGCTCTGAATGACCTTGTTGACGTAGATGCCTTGCAGGTGAATTTCCTCGGGAGACAGCTCGCCAACCTCGACAATGTGGTCGGCCTCGACGATAGTGTACTTGGCGTTCTTAGCCATGGCCTCGTTGAAGTTGTTCATGGCCTTGCGGAACTGGCAGTTACCAAGCTTGTCGGCCTTGTGGACACGGATCAAAGCGTAGTCGCCGAAAATCGATTCTTCCAGGAGGTAGTTCTTGCCGTTGAACTGCCGGACTTCCTTGGGTTTCGAGTATTCCTTGACGGTGCCATCTTTGTTGTAACGGACAGGAAGTTCACCAGTTTGGACTGCTATTGTCAGCTACGTCCTTAGACCACGTAGAGCAAAACCTACCAATTGTTCCATAAGCCGCAGGAGTGTAGAAAGCAGGGATACCAGCTGCACCAGCCGCACACTTCTCAGCAATAGTGCCTTGAGGGGTAAGTTCCAGAGCGAGGTCGCCGTTCAGGTACATCTTTTCAAAGACCTTGTTTTCACCGATGAACGAAGCAATCATTTTGGTAATTTGACCAGACTCGAGGAGTTGGCCTGAGAATGTCAGCACCATCGTTTCCCTTAGCGAATTGCTTCATGATGGCGAATAACATACCCAAACCAGCACCAGGCATTCCAGCATTGTTGGAGACGACAGTCAGATTCTTGATATCGGGACGATCACGCACAGCATTGATCAGGGTATTGGCGACTCCGGAGAAACCAAAACCACCGCACAGCACAGTAGAGGAACCCTTCATGTCCTTGATGGCCTCCTGAGCCGACGCGCATACTTTGTCGATGGCTCTCTTGTTGGCGGAGACAGAGAAATTCCGCCGCCCCAAGATGGGGCGGAACACCGCAGGAAGAGGTCGCGACATGGTCGGACCTAGATCAGTTGCTCAATTGAATGAGTCAAACTGAGGAAAGGATAGGTAGATCTTAAAGGAAGGGAAGGGAGAGAAATAAGAGAAAAGACGGGCAAGAAAAGAAGCCGACGACGAAAAAGAAACGCCGCCGGCTCTGGGGCAGCTGGGGAAGCTGATCGGTATGTTCCGTAGGCATATTATTAACTGATTAACTGAGGATTATGGAGCTTCTATTGGAGAACAGACGTAAGGAAGAGAGAGAGCAAAGCATCGGCTAGCAGTTGACGCCAAACCTGCCGACAAAGCGATTATCCGCCTGTCAGTACTAGACTACTACCTTAGTTAGTATGGCGGGTACAGTAGTACTGTTTTGCCGCCTTCCGAAGCCGGTCTCACCCCGATAGTAAGGTACCGACTGCGTACCGCTGGCATCGGTAATTTACAGGTGTCAATGGGAGTATACTCCGTATGTGGGAAAGCGTTCAAACCACCTGCGGGGCCACGGGGTCTTCAACTGGAGCTATGGGAATTATTGTTCCTTATTGAATTCCCATAGACGAGAATGAAGGTTAAGTAGAGGTTTCCCTTCAGAAAGAGAAGAGTCCTTGTCGTCAGTTAAACGCTTCTTTGCCTAACTTTACGAAATGTGTGGAATCCATAATATCCTGTAATGTCTGCAAGTTCTCTTCCGACTCGGGATCCACATCGGCAAAGGACAATGAGATCTCGGCTGCGGGGTTTGCCGGCCTGAGGCTCCCAGGCTGCTGTCGAACTACTGCTTTCTGTACACAATAGAAAGGAACTTCAACACAAGGAAGATGCGAATCATCTTCAAGTCTGGACAGAAATTTTATCTTCCTGAGTTAGAAGCTGTAAATGTAATAGCTTATCGGCAGAGTTCTTCTATACTGGTTCTGGTTGTGAAGCGTCAATTGTATTATCATGAGCATAGAGAACTCAAAATAATACAGATTTCTGGCCAGTCACTTCGATGACTACAAGGCCGTCTCATACCTGTTCGATCAACCGACTGTCTAGATGTCCATCAATAGAAGCCGATCAATCCGCATCAGATCCTCCACATACAGATCTCAGCGTGGGGCAAGCTTTGGCAACTCGTGTTGATGCCCCACATTCGTATACAGTATAATCGCCACATGGACATGGATCTAGTTCCTTCGGTGCTTTTCCTTCAAGAGGATTCAAAAGGACATTGTTCCCACACAAGTGAAGAAAGGCAGCAGCAGGTTACTCACAAAATCACCCATCAGTGCAGCTATTTCCAACGGTGGGCGGTTCGCTGCGAGCTTATGGGCTCTCCATTGCAGTTTCTCCCTATTCAGGAACTTGAAAGTTGACATTTGACAGATTCAGACAGAGTCATCGGGTCGTTGATGGTAGAGCCTTCATCAGCTTTGTCTTGATGCCAAAACTCATGTTGCTTTCCATGCAGTATTTCCTTCAGGCCTGCCATGGATTACCAGAGAGCTCTGTTAAAAATCGACCAGCTTGATGGATTTGCGGCAAAGCTGGAATCTGATGATTCAGTCATCCAATTCAGCTATCATGAGTGCCGAATCCTCGTCCTGTACAGCGAAAGAAGGAGGCAGATAACTCGCACGAGGGCACTGCAAAACGAGGCGTCCAGACAGAGCAAGCGCCAACTGACAGGGACATTCTTGCCATGACTTGAGAGATTTGAGAGTCCACAATCCCACCTCCTGTGAGAATACGTGCGACTTGTCAGCAATTGGTATGGAAACCGTACGATTATTGTTGGTGAGAGTCAGTCAGGTCGATGATTCGGGAACTGAAGTCTCCACGACTGCCGTTCAACAAGCGACCCCACTCGCATCATTAAGACCCATGGGAGCATAATTGTTATGCTCTTGACCCTGTGTCATACTAATAATTAATTCAATGGTTGGTCGTGGCCAGTATTGCGAACCCTGGGTCGTTCGTATCAGGAGGAAAAATACCCCATGGGGCAGCAGTCAGCCCCAACAAATAATATACTTTTTCTCATTCGGCTGTTCTCCGAGACGGAAGAAGAAGAACAACAACTCATCACATTAATCATTAGGATGGGAAAGAATATGATAGCGATTCGTTAATAAGTCGTCCCCTGACTGACTGAGAGAGGAATGCACAAGTCAGAAGCGAGAATACTGCAGCTAGACGACATTACCAGAGTCGAGACCACCTGACAAAACAGCAACACCAACTAACCGGATCGGTCATAACGTGAGCAAACGGGACACGCAACAAATCACAGAGCGATCCCCCTCACTGTCGGCCATTACCTAAGGATCTTAAGGCACCCGAAGGATCCTTAGGTCAGTCACGGACTGGCCAAACTTCGAAGATCTTGGTTTCACTCGGAGAGTTTCCTGTTCTCCATCCCCCTGCAGTTTCCCACCTTCATCAGTCTTCGATAATGTAGCATTACTCTTAGGCATCCAAGTCATCCTTATTTATCCCCTCGCGGTCCCCGCGAGAACCATCATGGTTTTGAAGAAGTGTAACATCTGTGACCGTCGGTTCAAGAAGACGGAACATTTCAAGCGTCACGAACGGTCTCGTCAGTAGATCTATCTATCAGTACTGAGGCAATTGATTCTAATGGCTCTGTGGACAGACACCAAGGAAAAGCCTTACGAATGTAATGTCTGCCACAAACGATTCTCTCGAAGGTGGGTCATGCACGTGTCATATCTGCGCTCTATATAAGGTCCTACTGGATCAGGAAATTGAAGACGCTAATAACTCCCCTGCAGTGATGTCTTGAGTCGCCATGCAAAAGGCCACAATGCTGCGTCGTCAAACGCAACCAACGGTGTGGTGAAGAGTGACCAGCATCATACTTCATCTAGTCAAGCGTATGATCAACAACACTCGCGTATCAACGACAACGGCCAATTCATCCCGAGCATCAACCAGGTAGGCGCACAGCAGGCCCAAATCTTGCCGTTTATACCGCGCGAAATCTCCCTTACAACGCCGGATGGGCTTCCGTCATCGTCTCTTAATTGCCTGGCCGACATATCTGCTCACCAGGCTCGGTCTCAACCCCAGCTCAACCCCATGGTGATGGATCACCAGCAGGCCTACCTCGGGTGGGGTGATGTCACCGCAACCGAGCCGTCCCCGTACAGAGCGCCCGTATTCGGCCCAGTGCCGAATGACATCCTTCAATTCTGGCTGGAACCCCGGGGCGACACCGCCTCAAACCCTAGCCCGATAGACCTCATGCGCGACGCCAGTGTGGGTCTCGTGGATGACCAGACATCAGCGTCGCCTAGAGCGCGGCAGAGTGGTCATCCGGTTGAAAACCCAAGAATCCAATCTCCGAGCAACATTCCCAGTGAGAGATTTGCCAGAGTACAGCGGTACTGGCTCACCCCAGCAAACAACACCGGGCGCCTGATGAACACGCTGTGGCGGGATGTAGCCACCTCTTCCCTAGAGAATATCCTCGGGGTGTACTCAGGACAACCCTTCAATAGCCCGTCTGGGCTCTCAGGAGATTTGAGGTACGGGCTCGATGAGGAATGCAGGCAGAATCTTCTGGCCACCTTTGGCCAGGCTCGACTTAGCACGTCAAATGACGCTTCGACCGCTTCACGCATGTCTGAGGCACCTTTTGGTTCTCCGCAAGCCTTCCCTCCAGCTGAAATCCTGGATATGGCACTCGACTTGTACTTTCGCAATTTTCAACCGCTAATACCGTTCATTCATATGCCTACATTCTCTGCAAAGAGGACTCGTTCACCAGTGCTCTATGTCATGTGTATGATTGGTATGATCATTCTGGGTACAAAAGGGACAACATCATTTGTCTCCAAGAATTTCAACGTAAGTCCAAATGGCTGATCGTCAAGTGATATTGCTAAGTTTTTGTGTTTGCCAGTTGGTGCTTGACAAGATCACCGGAGAATTGGCCAAATGCGCAGCAGGAAGTGAGACCCCTGTCGGTACCGTGTCTACTTTTGCCGCGGCCTTTCTTTTCCTCAATTTGGCGGCAATGACCGGGGTAGAGTTTCCACCACTGAGTCCGTTGAATTCTGCTGATTCCTCCACAGGAAAAGGAGCACATTGCTAAAAGCCAAATGCTGTATATCAACCTTATGACTGTAGGTCTAATCCTCACCTGTCTCATTATATGAAAGCGATAAATGCCAACCGCCATCAGACTGCGCAAAGACATGGGTTGTTCGCTGCAACGGAAGGACAAATTCTCGACATGAGTCTCTATGAGGCAATTCCCGATGTTGATGCAAGATGGAAAGCATGGAGCAAAGTCGAGTCCGTGAAGAGGTGCGTATCTCAACTGTGGAAAAGGAGCCCAGCTCCTGCTGACTCAGTGTGCAGACTTATCATCGGACTTCTGATGCTCGACTCCTGGTACTCATCCTTCTTATCAACGAGCCCCATAATTGTACCAGACGCAATACAGTTTATTTTACCGTGTGACGGAGCGATCTTTGACGCGAAAAATGCCATGCATTGGATGCAGCTTATTCGCATCGGCAAGCGAATTTTGATGCCGACTGTGGTTGCTCCATCGGAAAATGTCGATCTTCCAACGCTAGATAGCTCGGTCGACGGTTTGTGCATGCACGGCGTGTTGGCCATGGTTCAACTCCGGCTCTGTGAGGCTTACCACCGCCTATTGTYCAACCGAGCAAATTACCCGTTCGCGCCCTGCCATACCTACGCTATGGACGGCCGTGCAAGATGCCTCCCAACGCTTCAGCTGCAAATAGCTGATAAATATAGGGAGGCCCTGGAACGACTTAATCCGAATGCCCTAGTCATGTGGCACAATATGTGCATGACACTCACTGCGGACATCCAGATATTCGAACTGGCTGCGGGTCGGTCAGGTCCTCTGCCAGCCCGGAAAGCCCTCGATGATATCGCCGTGTGGTCTCAGACACCAGCAGCCCGAAGGGCGTGTCTGCACGCCGCCCAAATATACAAAGCCATGGTCAACCGCAAAGCATCAGATTACACCATGTTCCACTCGGTGCTCGCACTCTTCACTGCGGCGCTCGTACTAGGACTGTATACATTCATGGCGCCACGTCCGCCAGAGACAACTGCCGGATGCATTTCCGTGGAACTCCTGGACGACATTGACTGGCAGCAAGTGGGACGAGAGGGTTTCACCAGCTTTATGGAACCTCGCGGTAACCATACATTCACCGCTTCGGACAATTCGACAGTCAATTTCATTCGTAATGGCGGTACATTGTACCTTCGCGGAATCCCAGTGCAAGGAGGCTATCAATCTGCGCGGCGCATACTACTGGACTACGCGGGGCTCCTGAAAGGCTCTGGGAGATGGAGCGTCCGAAAGTTCTCTCATGTCCTTCACATAATGAGCGATGTCCTTATGGATATGGAATGAGGTCTTGTCGACTGCGCTTCAAAGGGCTATCAATTGGACTCTGCATGTCTGATCAGGGGATATCCAGTTATTGATCACTCTGGCTATGCCTGGATCTTTGATGCGAGGTTCTTACGAACTTATTCGTCAGCTCTATCTGGCAATTGTCCACGAAATGACTCCACGGTTCTGTCCACCTCGCTGGAAGACTTGCGTCGGTGCCCCTTATTCAGCAGCTTCGTTATTGACAGCACCTTCGTTAACTTCAAGATCTATTGAAGACATGTATTATGATTATGCTACGATGACCATTGACAGCGAAGCGCTTCTTCGTGTTTAATGACCTCTAAGATAACGTATGGGGAAGCCTTTTGAGTTCATGATCCCAGCGATTGATTGGCACCTGTACGTCTATATTATTTCGTTATTTACAAGCTCCTACGAGGGTGAAAACAAGACCATCACCACTGCCAAACCCGGCTCCACAGCTTATCCAACTCCTCCGGCGAAGCAATGACGCTCAGCATATGCATTTGCCCATCGCGGAGATACGAATCTCCCTTTGGATCACCGGTCAACACCACCCTCGGACAACCACAATAGGAATCTCCGAACCACACTGCCTCCCCGTCTCTGTCACTCTTCGCCTCAACATGTGCGCCCTCGGACTTAACCGACAACGGTTCATTGGTCTCAGTATACTTGGAGACGCTCAGCCCGTTGCACCGCGCATCAGGCATGTGCCACACATCTTCCAGGACAAGCTTGTTAGACCGAGGATCACGAGGTCCGCGCTGGACCTGGAGCTCGACTGTGCCGATGCCCAGGACGCGCGACCGGCCGATCTTGCCTGGCGCGCGGCGGTAGGAGGTGAAAGTGGAGCGGTTTTTGGCGTAGTGGCAGTTGCCGCCGACGACGATCCAGTCCCAGCAGCGGTTGTATTTCTGAGAGGCGGTGTGGGCGTTGGCCTTGCGTCGATAGTGTGAAGGAGTGGGAGTTGAGGCTCGTGATTGTGAATGCGATTGTGTCTTCTTGTGGACCTTGGGGTCTCGACGACCATGCACTTCAGCCATTTCCACGTTTCTCAATGAGAGAAAGAGAGAGTAGATGCCACAGGCAAGAGAATGAAATGAATCAAGTCAACGTTTACGCTGACACTACTAAGCGATCGACAGATGTATAGATGCCTGCATAAAACGTTGTCTACACTTATAACCGCCAACATAGGCAATATTAATACCCATAAGCCCCGTGGCAATCTCCTACCACATGGGGTATGTATCTCCTATAGGGCCGAGCAACACGTTATCCATGATGTAACCATATCAATGGTGTACTCTCATTGCATCGGATGATCGATATTCCAATTGATACGGAGCGACCCATAAAACCACTGGGAAACTCAATCTTCACAGTGAGCCATTTTGTCGGCCGTGGGGAATAGCTATCTCCGCCCTTGGTCTGGCCCATATCTTTGACGTCAGGAACCGGGGAAAGGGGATGGGACGGGAGATAAGCTTGAAATTTGGTTTATGGTAAGATTGTTTACCCGTGCACTGAATATGTGTTGACATTTCATCATCTAGAGGAGTATTCTTTTCTTGTGAATGAGCTTCCGGCAGAATGGAGAATGGTGTCCGTATTCTACATACGGTACTGCAGTAGTGTAAAAGTCTTCCAAGTCCATTTATATGTCTATTTGTCGTCCTGTATATAAAGTAATATGTGCACACACAGCGGGTATAGTACCAACAACGCTCAAAAACCAGTTTCGAGGTCACTCTTCACTTATAGAGAAGACCCTCGACCATCTCCGCAATGGCAAGCGAGCTCGTCAACCCCGGACTCTCGATCCCTAGTAGATTGATGAAGCCCGGAAAACCCTCCTCCTCCTGAATGACAAAGTCCTGGAACCCTTTGCCCGTGTTGACGGCGCCGCCGCGGCCCAGCTTCGGCCGGATGCCGCAGTAATCCAGACTGATGGCATCCGGGTCAACACGGGGCAGGTACGCCTTGATCTCCGGAAGGGCTTGCTGCAGCCTCGCCGGACTGGGCTTCAGGTCCGTCGGATCATCCACCCACTCGACATCTGGTCCGAAGCGGATCCGTCCCCCCAGGTCCAGCGTCAGATGCGTCCCCAGCCCTCCATGGCCCGGCAGTGTAGCAGGGTAGACCAGCACGGAAGTCTTGGGGAACGAAGCCGAGTACGAGAAGTACGTGCCCTTGGCGTAGAACGGCGTGCGGTGCCGCTCGCGCGGCAGGACCATGTTATTGATCGCGCAAGCCCCATTCCCCGCACTATTGATGAGCGTCTCCGCCGTTATGGACGTCTCCGCCCCGTCCGCCGACACAGCCGTGATCCTGTACCCGTCGCGACCGCCATCCAGCGCCTCGATCCCCGTCACGTTCGTCAGAAACGCACAGTCCCCGCCGCGGTCCTCGAAGTCGCCCTGCAGGTACGTCATGAGCGCGTGGCTGTCGACGATGCCCGTCGTCTCGCTCTCCACGATCCCCGCTACAGCTTGGACCTCGGGTTCCCGCCGCCGGGCCTCCTCGCGGCCGACGAGCCGCGTCGGTACGCCGAGGGTCTGCGCGAGCTTGTGTGTTCCGAGAGCGGCGGCCCATTGTTCCTCGTTCTGTGCGACGATCCATTTCTTCGTGTTGCGGTGTGGGATGCCTTGTTTTGCGCAGAGGTCGTACATCATTTGCTTGCCGCGGATGCAGAGTTTCGCTTTGAGGGAGTCCGTCCCGTAGTATATCCCCGCGTGGATGACCTGATCATTCAGTGATCGTGTTAGTCCATATGCGTAGAAGTAAGAGCAGCAGGGATCAATCACCTCGGAATTGCGACTGCTCGTCTCGGTCCCCACTGCATCATGCCGCTCCAAGAGAATAGTCGATGTATCCTGTCTCGACGCCAATTGCCGCGCGATCGCAAGACCTACAACACCAGCTCCAATCACCTTGTTGTCAATGAGTATTTTGTCATTAAGATGAATGAAAGGCTTGGGAGGGGCTTTACCGCATGTGTGACGTCTGCGCTGGACGCCCGCGTGCTTGAGAAGTTGCGCCGTGCGAGGAATGGCCTGGATACAGCGATGCAAGCGCGCGTAGCCATCGCTGTGGCTGTACTGAGACTGTGCTCTTGTTTCAGGGTATGTGCAAAGTGATGCCCTCTGAATTTCACACGATTGAGAGATAAATCATGGCTCAGACGTAATAACCGAAGTGAAATCGGGATGAGGCCGATGGCCGATAAGGCCGCGATAAGACTCCATTACCCGAGTCTTGCTCTCGCAGCCCTCATGAGTATTTAGAGGCTTCAAACATACACTCTACGATGAGCACTTATTAGCTACGMTCTAGTTGTTAGTTAATTTGCATTCCTAGCATGCAATGCCGGTAGTTGCAGGTCAACGGTCAGACCTTATGAAAATATTCATGTACAAATATGCCATTTCGCTATGAAGATATCGTACAACCCACTCTATATAGGCATGTGTAATTCACACTCATAAGCTCTAGCCCCGTTTTCCAACGTTCTTGAGCATCTCATCCAGGTGCTATAAGAGTCAGCGATGTCCAAATTCATTCTCGGAAGCTGCATACCTGTTTCTGTTCTGTTGCTAATTTGCCTTGGGTATCCTGTGCTCATGTCAGACTTCAGACGCATCTGGGGGGTTAATGATCCAGCTTACACTGATGATGGTCAAAATCAAAGAATAGTTATTGAACAAAAATTTCTCCCTTCTCTTTGCGTCACCCCCGCTGCGACTAAGTTTGGTCAGCAGGCCATCGAATTCAGCGGTCAATCGCTTCAAACTGTTTGCGACAGGTTCGTCATCCCCGGCATCGCTGCTCAGCACTAATATCCCGTGCAGGAGTTGACCAAACCGCTGTGTGAGAAAGTGGGGGGCTGAAGATTGGGTCAAGTCATCGCCTCCAGCTAATGACAGGGCAGAAACAGCACTGCGACCGGTGTTGGACGCCACTCGCTTCAAGGATTCCCGGTGAAGGTCCATAATAACTTGGAATCGGGGCCAAAGCTGCATGTTGGTTCCGTTGATATAGGAATCGGCAACAGGCACTTTCCGCCGTTGCAGTTCGAACGCCGCTTGCTGGTTCAATCGCACACAGATCAGCACCCCCAATGAGTCTGTAGAGTTCTCGATCAATTGTTTTGTTAGACCTTGCCCCACAGCGAAAACAGGTTCGAATATCTCAACCGCCTTCCGAGAAATCTGGTGGAAGGACAAAGTGGAAAACATCTCTGTCATGAAAGAATATTCAGCCGATATATTGTCCACCAGAGCCAGGTTGAAGTTTCTGAAAGGAACTTCAATTCCATGGAACGCCTTATCTTCTTCAGCGAGATATGCTGACAAGGCCATGTGGTTACTAGTCCGAACTATGTCAATACGTCTCCCCAGCGAAAATGGGTCATGCGCAGCGGACCCAGAGCGACCTGAGGAGATGATATGCCCTATGAAATATAAGCCTTGACTGCAGAGAAGAGCAACTGGACAAACATAACGAACCTGTCTTCGGCGCGGAAGAGTCTCCCCCCAGTATATCGTTCCTATCACTCGGATAGACTTTGATCTTTTCAAGAGCTTGCAGATAGCGAGTGAAATGGGAGAGATAGTACCAGCGCATAGTGTTAATGTATGCTTGCGTAATCTCTCCCGTAAGCTGAGGGTGAGCTCGGGAGATATAACTGTACAAGTCTTTAAACTTGACCAAGCGTTGCTGCTGGATAATTTGAGCATTGATGTTTGGAGAACGCAATGCTCTGATCTGGGATACTAGGTAGTCCCGGATCCTTTCCACTGCCTGTCACTCTCGTCAGCACGGACTCGAAGTCTGGGCCCATAGAAAGATACTGACTTTGTTCTTGATATCGTTCAGAAGCGGTCGCACATCTTCAATTGCTTTTGTGCTACTGCTACCAGAAACCTTGGCTTCTATACTCGTCATGCGTGCTTCGATCTCATTCAGGGCTTTGACCCAATTCTCGTCAATGGGTCCCTCGGCAATCAATCGAACAGCTCTCGGCGAGATACTGATTTCCTCAACGGCAGGTCCAAGAAGTTGCTCTACTTTGCGCCGGTTCTCCAGCATCGCATTCAACTGTACAGACCGAGTCTGGAGAGTCTCTATCTCAGCCGAAACAGCACCAAGCTCACTTTGGAAGTCACTCAGATACATCTCAACCGATTTTGAGACATCATCACAACTTGTGATGGCAGCATGTAATTCCTGATACTTATCTCTTTCCTTCTCAAATTGCTGGAGCGTCTGTGCACCGACATCAGTAGACGTAGCTCTCCGTGGCTCGCCTACTTGAGATACGAACTCCTCAAGACTAAGGTCTCCGAAGTCTATCGACTCAACCAAGTGCAACGGCTTTGCTTCAGGGGCTGACGTCTTCAGACACTCGTTTGTCTCTACGTCGCCCTTTTGCTTTCCAATAATGTCCTTCAGCACCTCGAGCGGATCAGCTACGTCAGAAGGACGGGACCTTGCAGCGCCTTGCTTGAGAACCGAGCCATTGACTCCGCGTGCGGTTGCCGGCAGAGAGGTGGTCGAGTCACTTGGTGTCAGCAGAACGGATAACGAGGAGCCTTGCCGGTTCTGACTCGGACGGTTGTTCGGTGGAGCAGGCGACAGTAGGGAGGAAGATCGTCGGGGAGCAGGTGAATTGCTGCGACTATCGAAAGGGACACCGGCGGGGGTGGAGTGGCCTGATATGCGATCAAGCCACATCTTGCGAAGCAGGCACGGAAGAGCGTGCGGATATTGAGAAGATCACAGCCCTCATTGAAGTCAAGCGAAGGTTGTCTGCGGAGTTTATAGATCTATGCCTGCCAGGCTCTCCGCACTGGAGGCATGCAATGCAATTGATCCCTAATATCTTCAGCAGCTCAGTCAATTCAGAACTGACAGCTTACAGACATAGAGGCATATCTCAACAGTCTCTCCAAGATTAGAAGACTGGCATGCACAACATTCTACGCCATCTGTTATCAGGCTTCCTATCACCAGCTGTTTATGGGCAGGTCGAGATGCTACA